CTGTGGTGGGCAGCGCGCCTCTTCCCATCATCCCCCATACAGCTCCTCCCAGTTTCAGGTCGAAGGCGCATCTTCCCGTCCATCACCTCCTCTCCGCCCAGCTCCAGGACGGAGGCGAGCATCAGCTCCACCTCGCTCCGTCCCCATCCACTGATCCACAGATCAACGCGGGTGCAGCACACCTCTCTGGCTAGCTTCAGAGCCAACTCCGGCGAGGCAAGCTACCCCTCCCTCCTCCTCCTCCTCCCCTCTCTTCTCCCTGCCTCTTCCTCCCCGTCTCTCTTCTTCCCCTATGCTACGATGCCCTCCTCCTCCTCTGCTGCGATGTGCTCTGTTTCTTCCTCTACAAAACTCCTCTGTTCCGTACATGTTGTGCACTAGTATATATGCAGAAATGTAGTGCTAGTGCAGTGCATATTTTAATCATGCTGGCTTTGATTATTTAATCTTGCTCATTGCAATCCACGTGTACTGCTAGTATATCTGTGAGCAGTGGCTAGTGCAGTGCATCTTCTCTGTTTATTTAATCTTGCTCATTGCTAATTACCATGTGGAGTTGTGAACTGAACACATTTAGTATACTTAGTGGTGCAAGTGGAAAGAACACTGTGTGTGCTATATGGCCAACAACAAGGTATAGTCATGTACAACTCAATTAGTGAATTAATTAGTTATCAACTTGTCATACAGAGCTAGGTTTTTCTATGTAGTGATCTAATTTGCTACCACACAAAGTCAGGGCATGTCTATGATGTCGCCTCGTCATACGCCATAAGCGTTATAGAGTTATGAACAAAGTCGGTCACCACAAGATTCACTATGGCATAAAAACTATGCCCATAATTGGCTTGGCTAATATTTTTAAGTATTAGATTTATATGGAGCTTTGTGTCCCACTGCTTGCTAGTTAGTAGTTACACATGCACTTTCAGTAACAAATCCTATTGCCAGTTCAGAAAGTCACTGGCAGCTTATTACAACTTACAGAGTTGATGCTATGATTCATATTTTGTGACTTGTGTTCCACAAACAGGATATATGTTACCAATTACTTTATGATCTATCTTTACTCAAACTGAATGTTGAATTTCCTGGTGGATGCAATTCCACTCAAACTTCACTAGCCATTGTAATGAAAATAAGCAGTGTTCAAATATTTGCTGATAGATCAGTTAACTGGCCAATTAATCCCTGTTCAGTGGGTCACCAAGTAGCCGATTAACTGATTTATCAGCAAATTAACTGGCTGATTCACCTATTAATCCCCTACATGCCAGCCGGCCGAGCAGTTACCAGTTAGCGATTTCCTGAACATTTTAAATGAGTGGTCCTAATAAACCAGGTGTGCTGCCTATTGGTGATCAAGGAAACAGTGTTTGATTCACTCACCTAAGCCAAACTAAAGCTCCAACACCGAACGGGGTCAAAGAGAAGGCTTTGATGAGCTTTATATAGGCCAGAAGGGTTTTCAGTAAGTTCGCAAAAAACATGGACGCTATATCTTCCACCAGGTGCGCCACATTGACAAAAGAAGACACAGAAGTGGGATTAGGACGGCTAGTTAGCAAATTATTCCACATTAGGGGCATTGAAGTGCACTTCGAGAGTACAGGGACCCAGGTGAACTGATGCCATAAGTTTGGGGACCAATCATACAATTTACTCATTTGAAAAGAACTTACAAGATAGAATGAGATTTAATATTTTGGAGAGATGAAAGAGAATGCTCGTGAAGTTCGGGGAATGTTATCCATGCCAGTTCCACCTAGCATGTTCAAACATTTTCACATGTATGCTACTAAAGCCCTGTTCGGCAGCTCTCCGCTCCACAGCTCCGCGCCAGAGCAGAGCGGGCCGCAGCCTATTTTCTCGGAGTGGCCGAAGGGTCGCTCCGTGCGCTCCATGGAGCTGGATGACTGCCGAACAGGGCTTTAGTAGGTCTGTTATCATGCTAATGGAGCTACAGTCCACTGGTAAACCTTCAGCACAAAGCAGCTCATGCAAATCAATCTTCAAACAATTGGGATTTTGAACATGAATATATGATGTCTTGTTTGTGTTATTTGCCAACAAAGTCCACATTATGAGCCTATCAACTGAATCTTCTACATCTACACAAGCATTC